GTATACTGGATGTATGCTGACATTTTTACTCAAAAATATAGTGAGAAAATACAGGAAAGGGTAAAGCAATACATTTAATTCTGCAATTACATAATATAGACTGTATGTAATATACACCATATAAAAAACACAATAGGTAAAGACAGTAAGTATGAAAAAATCTTACTCTTATCCAAAGATAAGGGTAGTAGAGACAACAGTAGAAAATAACAGAATAAGAAATTGTAAATATTCTCAGTATCATAAAATCCCTAATTCAAATTAAACCATGTAGATTGCATAACATTTTCATAAATCTTGAAAGATAAACTAAATGAAGAATCCAGAAAGAGCTTTTATTGTTTTGCTTCTCTGAATAAAGATCACACGGTAATTTTATAAGGGGAGAAAAAGACAAAATAGTAGCATTTCAAAATATTAATGCACTATAGTTACACATTGGATTGGAATTATTATGAATCCTGAGAAGGCAATTACTTCTCTCTCTCTCTGTCCTATCATTACTTTGCCTTTTCCAACTCATTTCTAACCATATCTCCCTTTTCATAATTTTTAGTCTCTCATACTGTGAATTCTGACTACTTCTATTAAAATAAACACAATTTTGAATGATTTTGGACTACTGTTTTCACACTACAACTGAATTCATGGTAATAGATAAGCTACAATTAGTTTTCATTACATAACATTAGATTCTGAGAGTCTTTGTGTATGTAGGTGTCATGGCATAGTCCTACTCAGGAGAGAGACTTAAATGTTCCATAGATAAAAATAAGCATGATTCTCTTTAAATGGAAAGCAAATATACACATCTGAAGACTTACCATTTGTAAGCACACATTAACTTTGTATTTTCTGATGTGTTTAACCTACCATTGCTGTGATTTCTCTAAGACTTTATTTTACTTCCATATTACAGAAATATGTCTTTCCCCAAAATAAATACAAGGACACTCAATTTTTACTTAATTCCAGTCCAAGATTTATAAATCCACTTTAACTACCCTGTGTCCTTTCATTGTTAATTGTTCAACAATATTAATATATGTTCAGCACTTTCTCACTGTTCTGTTCTTCAACTGCTCCTTGGAAATCAAAAGTTTCTGTTGTAAAGATTGGATGTTTGGTGACACTGCAATGTTTTCAACAGCCAGTGATAATGAAACCATTACAGGATGGCTTCAGGTAATAGCCATCAAATCTACTCCCTCTCTGTAGGAAAAACAGGGAAAGCCAATACTGTCTTCTTTGCTATTCTACAAAGGCAGTTTCTGTATTGTCACCTCTGGATGGAGACACAGGTTGCTAGACCATATTCAGCTTCCAATATTTTGGATCATGAAATAGAACAGAAGTGAGTATCTCTGGTACCCTAAATTATGTCCTTTTCCCATTTTAATTACATTGATGGGCTCAAAAGACACTAGCGATGATACTGATTAAAATAATTGCTTTTTAAGAAAAACAGTATCCTGCCTAGCCTTATCTGTATCAGTACAGGACACATTCTCCACACACAACCTTCTTTTCCAACTTCTTCTCTTAAGGCCTCATATATAAAATTGCAAAACCACATGAAAATGTTTGCCTGCTGTACTGCTTTTTCTTTTCTATTCACTGAAAAATGAAATCTGATTAAAGGACCAGAGTTTTATTCACTTTCTTTCAAATACCATCTATTACAGCTCAGACGCAGTGGTGAATGATGAAGGTACTTAATATTCTCAGGTATGAACAAGTAACTTGTTTCTCCTGCTTTTTGATTTAGGGTTGTCTAGAATGCAGTATTCTCTGACAGAGTACTGACATCAGCTAAAGGAAGGGCACACATTCAAAATAGGGCTTGAATTTTTGTGCTATGCTTACCTACAATTCTGCAGTTCTACTCTTCCTATCCTTCAAAATATTTACATAAATACAATTGAGTCTTTGAAATATGCTTAACATTAATTCTGCAAATTGCATCAGAACTTAGAGTTTAAAGACACTGTTAAAAAATCATAATTTTGCTTTCTGATATTCAGGAAGAGAAACCTTATCATCAATTTCTATTGAAAAGTCTGCAACACAAGAACCATTTCACTATGTTATTTAATGACCTTCAATTGTCCTCCAATAAATTTGCTAATCCCATTTCCATGAATATTAATGCTTTACAAGGTACAGTATTACTGTTATTCTTCTGGGCTTTGAAATTACTTTTGTTATTTATTCATGCTTTTCTCCACAATTTGCTCACAGATCTCAGTTCTGCACTCATGGTACTCATGTAATCAATGCCTATTTGTTCTCCCAGGTTTTCTTAGCTATACTACTGCCATGGCTATTTCCATGGCATTGGTTAGGTTAAATTCTAAACAGACAACCTGCACTTAAAGACAGTAAAAGCTTTCATAACAGGTCGTATCAGAAAACTTATAAACAGATGAAAAGGCAATCAAAACAGGGGAATATGAGGTGTCCCCGTTCCTTCCTGCCTCCATTGCACCCTCTGTGTTCAGGGACTAAGTTTCATTAGTATCACTTCACTGGTTTTTTTGCAGACAGAACATTGAAAGTATTCTCACATGAAAGTGCAGTCCTGTGCAGAGGGTAAATCCCATATTGTAAGGGTTCAAGGAATTTGAAGCTTCCTTAGGTAGCTTCTGTCACGCAGCATTAGTTAAATCATGGTCATAGATATAATATAGCTCAATGTCCAGATGTGAGTACAGTGTTGTGGCACATTCTTCTAGATGTCCTGACTGCTATGCCTTGAAAGGTAACTGTTTGAAATGATACTGGGATGTCTACAGGGAACAGTAGTGCGCACACATAGCGGATTATGCCAGTCCTGGAAGTTGCATTACTCCACTCCTACCACTGAAGTTCATAAAGCTTTTTGACAGATTCAGTTTGGAAAAGCATCTGAGGAATGTGGGGATGTGCCATTTGAGGCCCATTGCAGCTTGTTCAGAACTACCTCAATGTTTCTTCCTCATGTATCCCCATCCCATGCATTTCTGATTACAAGACATTACTGATAATGTAAATTAAAACAGAATTTATGCTCTTATCAGGCATCAGCCCTCACAGAAAAACTTAGGACTGTTAAGTGAAGAACACAAATTTACTTAACTTTGTATCTATTTTAGACTTTGATAATGGTGACTGTGGCTTTTTAAACCAATTCTAACTAGAGATCAGTGGTTCCAGACAAAAAAAGAGATAGAAATCAGATGACTACCATTTTAATATGTGACTGTGGCTTTTTAAACCAATTCTAACTAGAGATCAGTGGTTCCAGACAAAAAAAGAAATCAGATGACTACCATTTTAATACACAGAACACCTATAAAGTGAGAACTTTTTGTTGTTCATATTTGATTCCAATTTCTATTCTTCTGCCTGTTTTTGTCTTTCAATTATAAGATTTTACTCATGTTCCAAAATGTAGAATGCCCCAAGTACAGCCATCTAAAAAATGGTACCTCTTTCTAAAATATGAAGAAATTGGCCCTAAAAGTACTGTCAATAACTATAAATTATCTGTCTAGAACACAGTCCTAAGCCCATCTCAGCTGGGAGATGGAGATTATGTTCCTATATAAGGGAAAAGTCAGGGCAGAGGCACTATTCTGCTCAACTCTCCCTGGAAAAACAACAGTGCAGATGTGTAGACATTGTATTTTGAATCTATCATGTAACAGCTAAAACAGCTGGAAAAGAAGATATATCACATTCTGATCCTGACTCTTATAAACAGTATTTGTTTGATCTGTAACTTCTGCATCAAAAAGTTGGGGAACAGAAAATGCAAGGGCACATCTGGACTTTTACAGCTAGGTTATCTAATTCCCTGGTTAGAATCAAGACAGATTTCTGGGTTTTCTTCAGTTTTGAGTCTTGCACTTTCAGCTGCACAGCAGTTGAACTTCAGCAAAACATTTGGATATTATCAGTATTATATTATTATGTAGGTGAGATTACACTATTAATTTAGGAGGTGACACAGCCAGCCAGTCTTGTAAATTTTAATTTGTGTGACTGGGAGAAGTGTTGTTATTCGAGTGATACAACTAATATGCCCAATAGAGTTATTTGGAACACAATACTGAACTAAGGTATTTCTGCAAATTAAAAATCCCATTCACTTGAGTAGATTGGATAAATCTTTAAATACAGGATGAAATCTGCAATATAAAGATCCCATTTCCCTTTCCTTTCCCTTCCCCTTCCTTCTCTCCTCGCTACCTTCTCTACTCCTTAAAGTGTGCTTGCCCTTTGCAAATGTATAAATTAATGTGATTAGGACCTTTTATTCTCTGATTATGAAGACAGAACAATACTATTATTATGAACATTGTTATTATTACTAGGTTTACATTTTATTGCTATGCATTTGTAGGAACAAAGCTAGCTGAATAATTGAACTTGTCATTTGGAGAGAAAGAAAGTTTATGACAGTTTTTAGTTTCAGAAGAATTCTATTTGTGTACAGAATGGAGGAAAGAAGAGGTTTTTTAGATTTGAGAGTTTCCAAGTATGAAGATATAAACTGCAGCTTGTATAAAAAATTACACTGGAACATTATTTCTGCCATGTGTGATGGCAAAAGAAGGTTTCAGATTTAACTCTGTAGAAGATGATTTTCCCACCATGCATGCAATAGATACCTTGGTTTGGTCAACTAAATAAGAATCAGCATAGATTATACTTGGATTCCTGAGGCTTGCATAAATATATTAAGTCATAACAAAATTGAAAACTAAAAGGAAACTATGTCTAATATTGTGCCAGAACACTTCTAATCTATGTGCATTCTAACACAATTGCTTACAAAAGCAGATCTATTTTGGCTATTCTAAAACAGAACTATATAACCTAAATGGTCTCTACATGCTAAATATTTCACACCAAAGTGAAAAAATAAGGTACATAAAGCACACACACATTACAAAAGCATGAAATGTGGTTTTATAGTCTCATGCTTTCATGTGGTTTTCCAAACCCTGACAAACCTGTCTCAGAATGGTGTTTCTTTTTCGGCAATGGTTTGTCATCAGTTATTGTACCATTCACCTTTTTCTGCTGGTCTTCCCATGTAACTTCTAGTGTAAATCAAAAACAAAAATCAGAAATATTATGTAACTTACATTATAATACACCTAATATCATTTGGGAAAACTTGATCTAAACAAATGCATTATCAATAACAATAAAATTTATATTAGTTCTTAAAGGCCTGAGGTGAAGAGAATTATTACACATCTTAAACATTCTGGAACAGAACATCTTATCCAAAAGTTAGTATCCATGTAACTTGTCAAATATTCTGCTGTCTTTAATATTTAACAAATGGCATAAGAAACAGGGGCTTGTTTACACAATAATTTGGTCCATTTTTAAAAGTTAGTGTTCTATATTCTACAGCTTATTACTATAGATTATAGTATATATATAGCTTATTACTATGGATTCTTATAATCATTGTGTTTCTGTAAGTTATACAGGAAGTTAGAAATATTTTGGTAAAAAAGTCTATGCAAAGATATAATTAACAAAAATAACTAACCAAACAAAACAAATCAACAAACAAACAAACAAACAAAAAGCCCGAACAAGCAACCACGCATGCCAAATTTAAGTTGAAAAATGTTTTTAACAATCATTTCTTAAGCCAAAATAAAGTCATATTTATTTTCAAAATCTGGAACTTGATTTAAATTAAGTTTTTAATTTGGGCAGATTAAACTACTCAATAAGAACTCTTGCACCAATTATTTCTGTATCTGAAACTGGCATTTCTGATGTAACTTCTCAGGAAAAGAGCTATAGAAAGAAGCATGGACACTGCTCCACAGAAATACATTCTCTAGACCTGAGAGCTGTTAGCATTTTGAGGTTGTTAAATTTTATTTTTTTTTACACTTTAATTCTCTATCTTCTGACAAACTAGGTAGTTAGCATAAATATTATCGGTTTTAAACCCTTTGGAATCTCATGGCAAACCCAAATCTACACCAATTAACAGGAGAGATCCAATACTCCAAGCTCCATTTTTGCTTTGGGCTGTTAAGAATCTGCTTATTTTGCTTATCCCATTAAGTGTGAAGCTCTTCACAACCATTGCCCACAGATGTTATCACTTTTATGGTCACAGAAAGAGCCAGTGATGGAGAATAATATGACAGATTTGGAAAACATTTTTAATCTTACCAATTCAAAGTAAACTGACACAAAGTATTTTAGCCTATGATTTTATTATTATTATTGCTATTTTCCTTTTTCAAGAAAACTGCTGGATATCTAACATGCAAAATGTAAACTTGTGAAAGTGTTATCTGTGTGCATTCCGCAGCCTTCTTCTCTGGGGATGTTGTTGGTCCATAGGCTGCTGTCCTATAAAAGGCTGCTTTGATTTTTGAAACTGATGGAAAGGTAGGTTCAAGTAAAATTGTCATTGTAATGATTTCATGACACCACAGATATGCAAGCTCAAACAGACTCTATCATCTTTGAAGTACCATGTGTACTAAACGAGAAATGTCAAACAGAACATTCTGTTACCAAACCATGGAAATAAAATCTTAATATTATTATTCTTAGCGAGAATGTGATTCTTTCTTTTTCTCTGTGAATACACACAGTTCACAGTAAAATATCTACTGATGTCATCAATCCTTTCTTTTTCTCAAATGAGTCCAGAAGTATCTTATTAACTAGCAAATCAAAAAACTCAATAACCTTAGTAAAACTGCTTTTTAATTTAAGGAATAGTCACTCTTGGAAAAAATACCATTAACTATAATTCAGGCCAAATAGTGGCATATAGTAACCCAAAGGAATTTTTCATGACATACAACAAATAATCTAAATACTGAAGAATATCAGGAAGTCCAGTGATTTCCATGCTATTTTAATGCAAATTTTAGAAGACATTCTCTCTGTCTCTCTCTCTCTCTCTTACTCTAGGTCAGAGTCCTTTTCAGAGCTCCTGGTTTAGTTCTGAACCTAAAACTGTAGTTGTCTCAGCAGCCAAAATCACTTATTATAAAAAAGTTCCTTATCAAAAGAAAAGCTCTACTAAATCTTGACAGTTCTTTGAGAGCTCACTATCTAGAAAATAGTTAACCCTCTCAGTAACACTGTTAATAACACTTGAACTGACAAGAGTGAGGAAATAAAAATCAAATAAAAATACCATTCTTTGAATAAATAGTTTTGCCTCATGTTAACGTTAAAAAGAAAAACTAACAACATTACAAAAGGCTACTGAATGTTTTTGAGGAAAGTCATAGCATGAGCATGCAGACACTTCCAGAAAAGGTTCCAAATGACCTCTTTTCTACAGCTTCAGTTATATTTATGGCATATCAGCTTTAAATTCAAATGGCTGTTTAGTTTTGTCAGCAGTTAAGTACAACATTTAGATTGAGTATATAGGGTTTGGCAGTACTCCAGATGAAGTGAAAAGCTTCATTAACTTCTAGAACATTGCAAGAGTTTTACTCTTATTAGTTATTGCTTCATCTGAGAAATAAAAATAGATATACCCATTGGATTTAACCAAACATTTGACATTTTCTTCAACATTTTCTAATTTCATTTCCATTTCTGTGTTTTACAAAGATGAGAAAATATCTTTTAAGGAGAGCTTAAAGGACAGCTTTCTGTTTGGGAACTAGCATGAGATGCTGATGCTTATTCAAAGTGTCAAAATGTCAGTGTTGCCCATATATTCTCTGGTTAGACAAATAAGTTTAGTTAAAAATGTACTTCACACAATGTAGTTTCTAAAATCTCTTTTTTTCCCCAAGGCAAAGGACCACCGTCTATTCCCTTGATTTAACCAAAGCCAACTTTAGTCAACTAGCAAATATTTTGAAAGAAACCATACATTTTCTAGATCATCAGTCTCCTGTTATCACTCTCACATCCCATAACATAAACTTCATCCTGTCATCAGTTGTGAATAATCAGCTTTGATTTATGTATAGAGAGAGATTAAAAAAAAAAAAAATTAAATATTTATACAAAAGGATCTTATATAAATTACATAAAATATGGGATTCTTGAATCAGAGTATTTCAATCAGCTGATGCATGTTTAGGGCTAGAAGGATTTGACAGGTGCCCGATGCAGATTGTTCCCACCAGAATGAAATGGACAATCTTTAGATGCAGTTATTTCTTGAGATTGAATTGTTGCACCTACCCGCGGGCACTGCCCACCACAGTGAATAATGCAGCTGGGTGACACTTGGTGTTGTGCCATTCCCAGTGAGAATGACACTCACCTGTGCTGCCTGGGAGAGGGGGCGTGGTGTGCTCCAGCACACAGTGGCAAGTACAACCTCCACATTTCTAACACTTTTGTTTGGAATATTTAATATGAAAAATATTAAAAATGTGGAAATGATATATGAGAAGAATAGTTGCATATATATAGCTTTTCTGAATTTCTAACCACGCCAGCTTAGCACCAGGAATGTTGCAGTTGAATTGGAAATGATGCAGCAAACTGCAGAAGTACAAGATGATGCAGCAAAATACCAGACACTAATGATGAGGATTTTTCTTATGCCAATACTCGCCTCCTCCCTTCTCTTCCCAATACTACAAACAGTAGTGTTTGTAGACATAGTGTTTCTCACAACTACCCTTCACTTGAAACATTTTTCTAGATTTTCTCTTTTACTGGATTGTCTTTTTTTTTTTTTTTTTTAATTAAACCCACTTCAGCTTTTATCTTTTTTTCAGCACCTAACATTTCTGAGAACTAATTTTTATCAGTGCCTTTCTAGTTTTAGACTTGATTAGGTTATCATAAAGTCTTCACTTTTTCATTAGGACATACTTAATTTAGTCATCTTTTTCCTGCAAATGAAAAGTACTCAGAACTTCTATTTTTAATTTTATATGAAGAATGCTTAGAAAGAAATTATGTTATTAATAATATATGGTGACACCTACTGTAAAAATAAGTCAAAAGTGGATTTGGCTAGTGCTTCTTAAACCAATGCAGCACAATAAGAAGTCATTAAAACTGTGGGATAAACTGTCAAAAGATGAGAAACAGTTTTGAATCATATACTCAAGATCTCAACTCAAACATTAAGAATGCAAGAAGAAGAATTAATTAAGACTAAATTCATGGCATACAAGTTTTAATTTTTACTAAACAAGGTCCCTAAGAAAATTAAAGAGACATCAGTCTGTAGAGCTCACACAGAGAGAAATATTTTCAGTGTGTCAAACCTCTGCTAGGGGAAAGCAAATGGCTTCAACCATGATATATTAATCATCCCAGATGTACTAAATTGTATCTGGAATGAATCCAGTCCCACCTTGCAGCACCAGTGTGCTGCTAATGGCATCAATGCCAACTCAAAGTGACACAAAGTCAGCAATCAAGATTTTATGCCAGACTGCTGATGTTCCTACACCAGAAAAAAACCTTCAGGTGCCTCATTAAAACAGTGTTGATGCTTCCCTACCCTGATGTAACAGGAACAAGACTCATCCAGTACCCAAAACCAAGTAGGAACACATGTAGTCTTTTTTTCTGACAAATACAGAACAAGTCCTCCTGCCTCTCCAGGTAACCACAGCCAACCTGTGGGCATAATCTTTTATCTTCCTCTTTTGTCACAGTAACAGTTGATCTACATTTTTTTCTCCATACAGTGAAAGAATACTTGACAGAATGTTTCTGTACCTTAGAGATCAAGGCATTTATCTGAGACCTGATGACCTGTCTTTCCTTCAAAATCTTAAATGCTCCTTAGAACATTGCCCTGAAGGCTGACAAAGTGTGGGCAGTATAAAAGCAGGAACACACATACACATATGTACACACAACTTTCACGTGAAAATAATTTGCAAATTAGTGCCAAATCAACTGATGAATGCTAAGAAATGCTATAAAAATTTAAAATAAATAATTTGTTCATAAATGGCTTATATAATGGTTTATAACAAATAGAGTATTCCTGAATGGAGTATAAAATTTCTGATCTATCTTAATTATTTATTGTTTTGATTTCATCTTTCTTTCTGAACTACATACACATTCTGCTAAAAAAGTAAAAAACAAAAAAACCCCAATA